ACACAAACATCCCCGAGCTGAGCCAGCAGCTCCCCGGCACCGCCGCCCGTCTTCGCCGCCGCCCGCAGAACATCCCAGTACCTGCAAGAGCCACCATGACGGGATGCCCACCCTGGCTGGAAGAAATTTGGGGCTGCACCCGGGTTGTGGGGGGTGGGTGGGTGGCAGGGAGTGTCTCTCACCGCTTCCAGAGGCCCAGCTGCAGGAGGTGGAGCGCCAGGAGGCAGCAGCCGGGTGCGTGTCCGTCTGCCCGGAACCAGAGGATGCTGAGGAGCTGGGCGGCGTAGCCGGGCACCAGGCAGGCAATGCTCAGCCCGAACCAGCCCAGCTGCCCACGGACAAGGTAGTGGATGATGGCACAGAGCCCTGGAGAAGGGCAGAGAGGCGCTGCTGAGGGATGACACAGCCACACCCCCCCAGCAACTGAGCGGTGCCACTCTTAACCAGAGAATCCCAGAATGGTTTGGGGGGGAAGGAACCTTAAAGCTCCTTTCATTCCACCCCCCTGCCATGGTCAGGGACACCTCCCACTATCCCAGGTTGCTCCAAGCCCTGTCCAACCTGGCCTTGGACACTTCCAGGGATGCCGGGCAGCCACAGCTTCTCTGTGCCAGCTTCTCCCTACCCTCACAGGGAAGAATTTCCTCCTAATATCCAATGTAACCCTGCTCTCTGTCAGTTTAGAGCCATTCCCGCCAGAACCCCATCTCCCAGCCCGTCCAGGGTGCTCGCAGCCCTTCTCCTGGGCTTATCTCCAGCTGCCGGCTCCGGGTGGCTTTGTCAGCTGAGGCACAGCCACCGCCACCGAGGGGCCCGGCCCCCAGGAAGGCTCTGATAAAAAGCTTGGGCTCCAAAATAAACAAATAGATAAATAAGCGGGAGAAAAAAAAAAAATCCAAGAGGACGGCCGGGCCCGCGGGGATGCCGGGAGCAGAACCGCGCATCTCCCCAAGCGCGGGGCGCAGGGATGACCCCCCCTCCCCGGTACACGGAGGTGATTCGGGACCCCCGGGATGGCCTCAAAGGGGGCCATTCGGGCCTTCCCACGGGCCTTCCCCCTCCCCTCCGCCGGAGCGCAGCCCCGCACGCCCCCGCGCATCCTGCGCGCATCCTGCGCGCTCACTCACGGGCGCCGCTCTCCGCCGCCAGCAGCGTCAGGCTGAGCCTGGGGACGGCCCCGCGCATCCTGGGAGCAGGACGGGGAGGAGGAGGTGGGAGGAAAGGGAGGAGAAGAAGGAGGAGGAGGAGGAGGAGGAGGAAGAAGGAGCCGCCAGGGCCGGTCCCGCTCCGCGCGCCCCTCCCCGGCCTCACCGGGCACCTCCCCCCGTGTCCCCTCCCCGGGCAGTGTGACATCACGGTGCTTGCGCCACCCCCGGGGGCTCGGGGACACAGAGACCGACCTTGGCTTCACCATCCCGAGACCCCTGGAGCTGCTGTGCGCTGCCACAAACCCATCCCGTCCCCCCCGAATTGCTGTGCACCGGCACAATTCCCCCCCTCCGATGTCCCCCTGGCTCTTGTGCGGCGGCACAAGCCCACCGCGGTGTCCCCTGGGTTCTTCAGCACCGGCTCAAGCCCATCCCATTGCTCCCTGTGCTGTTGTTCACCGGCACAAGCCCACCCTGATGCGCCCCAAATTGTCGCGCACCGGGGCACGGCCACCCCGATGTCCCCGCGCGGTGCCCGCGATGTCCCCGTGTCGCGGGGATGAGCACTAGGTGGCAGCTGGGACATGGTGTGCGCACAGCCATAAATTCATCCCGCTGCTTTCCCGCCCTACCACAGAGATGAAACCGCTGTGAAATGGGATCCCAGGCATCGGAGGTTGCAGGAGCCCTCTTGTGTGCATTTGCTTTTTTTATCCCAATTTCCAGCCCTGCAGCCTCCAGCGCTGATCTTTTTAGAAAATAAATTCCCAGCAAGTTGCTACAGGAAAACCCATGAAGGGGAGTTTAATTAAGGCAAAATATCACCTCTGGTTTTGGTGGCTTTTGCAATATTCTTCAGGAAGATCCCAAAATAAATAAATTTGTACACCAGCTGGGGTGTTGGATGTACCTGTGTTCCAGGACTTTCATACATTTATTGCTGGGTTTTTTTTTAATTTTATTGAGTTGGTTTTGGTGGCTTTTGCAATATTCTTCAGGAAGCTTCCAAAACTTTGTACACCAGCTGGGCTGTTGGATGTACCTGTGTTCCAGGAGTTTAATACATTTATTGCTTTTTTTTTTAAATTTTATTGAGATTTTTTTTGCAACTCTGGCAATAAAGCCCAGGCTCTGCTGTGTAACAGTAGCCACCAAACTGCTCAGAAATGTCCTTGCCTGGTTTCCCTACTCGTGGGAGCATCCCCAGGTACTCTGTGGGTCTCCAGCACTGCTTTTTACAGGAACTTGTCATCTTTGCAGCCTCCAATCCATCTGATTGGGTTTGGGGGCCCTTTGGGTGTAAAGGACAACCCACTTCTCCTCCTGTCCCACTGCCCTGCCCATATTTGTGTTTCATTAATTAATGATGTTGGGCTGCTGGGCCCAGCTCCAGCAAAGTGTTTTAATAAAGTCAGGGGTGTAATTAGGGCTCTGAAGCCAAGTGAAGCTCAGCCTTGGCTGTCTCTGTCCTCCACAGCAGCAAATACCACGTGGCCCATTCCTAGAAAACCCAATTTTTAGCCTACAAAGCACAACTCAGCCTCTAATGGGCACCAAAGCCTCTTCCGGACCTGACAGTGGGATGGGGAAGAACAATTTTTGCAAATTCATCAGTGAGGACGCTGCCAGGGTCCATGCAGGCACAGCGTGAACCTTCTTGTCACCCACAGAAGACATGTGAACCTCATCATCTCATCCCCCCTGCCCTCCACCACCATCATTCCCACCCTGAGGAGTCTCAGCTGTCTCTCCTCAGTCTCTCCTCCTGTGTTCCAAGCCAGGAATAAATCCTGTGCCATCACCACCCCGGAGCTTTGCTAGGCAGAGAAGGAGGAAGCCAGAAGGCCTTCCAGAAGATATTCCCAGAGCTAGCCACCCTCCCCAGTTTCTCTGCCAGCTCCCAGTTGCTCTGGCTGCCTCCCAGCCACCGGTTTGGCTGCACTTTTCTCTGCTGGATTTCAGCACCCAGGAGCCTCTTTTGCTAAAAAAACTCCTCATGTCTCCAAGAAAGCTACATCCTGGAGAAGAGAAGGATCTGGGGCAACCTCAGGGCTTAAAAGGGAGAGCTGGAGAAGGATTTGGGACGAGGGATGGAGGGACAGGACACAGGGAATGGCTTCCTACTGCCAGAGGGCAGGGACAGATGGGATATTGGGAAGGAATTCTTCCCTGTGAGGGTGGGGAGGCCCTGGCACAGGTTTCCCAGAGAAGCTGTGGCTGCCCCTGGATCCCTGGAAGTGTCCAAGGCCTGGCTGGACAGGGCTTGAAGGAATTTGATCTGGTGGAAGCTGTCCCTGGCCATGGCTCCAGCCCCTGGAGCAGCTCCATGGCCTCCTCTGGACTCTCTCCAGCAGCTCCAAGTCTTTCTTGTGTTGGGGACCCCAAGGTATGGGCTCAGTGCTCCAGGTGAGCTGCCCACAGGTGGCATCGCACGGACCCAGCTGCTCCTCACCTGCTGAGCCATTCTTCAGCCCAGATGTTTGGCTGCACATCTGTCTGCAAACACCCCACAACACCTCAGGGAAGGGTTTCGGCAACAGCCCTGCCCTAAAGGATTTGGGGACCAGGGCACATCTTCTGCAGGTCCTTCCCTTGCCTGAGGTGACGCAGCAGAGCAGATCTGACAGGTGATTGAGGATGACACCAGGAGATGCAGACATTCGGTTTTTCCTCTGTAAAATGTACATTTTTATTGCTGTACAGAGGTGATTCTTAGAACAGCTGGTCCTGGCATCCACAAGAACATTTGCCTTCCTGGATTAGGTGCAAAGCACCCAATTCCGAAGCTGTTTGTGGGAGCTGCTCTGTAAAAGTGACCGCAGCACAATTATGTGTAACCACATTGTGGGACCAAGTACGTTCGACATGCGAGTATTTGACCTCAAAAAAAAAAAAGCAAAAATGAGGAAAGAAAAGCACCTAAAAGAGCAACCCAGAGAAACAAGAAGCCTGCGGGCAGCCTGAAAGCTGCTGAAAAGGCTGTGCTGGAAGCCTCGGTGAAATAGTTGCTTTGATTGGGAAAGAAAACAAAGAGATCTAAGAAAAATCCCTGCAGGGCACGAAGGGCGAGCCCAGGGAGGCTCCGGCAGGGATGAGCTCAGCCGTGCTCCAGCAGCTGCCGGAGGAGAGCGGCAACTCCCACGGAATGGGGCTGGCCGGATTCAAGCAGGAAAGAGGGATAAAAGAGAAGTGAAGATCCCTTTGCAACAGGCACCTGAATTTATAGAAATGTCTATAAATGTATAAAAAAGCAGGGAGGCACTGGAGGAATCCATGGTGAGAAAGGAGGATGCTTAGGAGTGCTGTGCTCAGAGACCTCTTCTGTCTATGGCAAGAGAATAAAGATAATAATAAAACTAAAATTGCTGGGCATGGGCTGTAATGATGTCCATAAATAGTTATGGCATAAAATATCTTACGTGCCATGCAGGTAACCTAGTAATGAAAATGTTTTGGTGAAAAAATTTGAAAAAAACCCAAACCTCATTTGGATTCTTAACTCTTAGATTTCTCTTTTCCTCTCTTATTTTTCCCTGCCATTCCCTAGTGCAGATCTTTTCCATTTTCTTAATTGTCCAGATTTTCCCTTCCAACAGCAGTAATGATGTAGAATTAATGACAGCCCATTAACCCTCTTCCTAAATTCCAAAGAACTAACTTCCCATTCAACATAGGTTTGGTGGGTTTTATTTTAACATTCCAGCTGATGATTATTTTACTTCTATGATGATATATTGTTCATGCTTGTAAAGGAAATATAAAACCTCTGAAAACAGATGGAAACATTCCTTGAGTGAGCTGCTGTGGCCAAAGGGTTGCTCAAAGGGAGGAGCCCAGGGTGGTTTTTCTCATCTCAACACATTTCCCGAGGCGATGCCGCAATGCTTTGAAAGCCAGACCTTGGTTCCTCCTGGGACAACAGCAAAGAGGATTCATTGGGTGTCCCCAGAGCTCCCCAAAGCCTCATTGGCCACCAGAAAGCTGTGGAGGTCAAACATCCCTCCAGAAACAGCACAAACCCACCCAGCTTTGCTCCTTCATCTTCATCCGGGTGGCTGACACTGATCCTGGGACTGTTCCAGCCTAGAGCTCCTCCTACCTGGTAACAGCCAAAATATTCTCATTATTCAGCCTCTCTCAAAAGGTTTTGTCCTTCTTAAATGGGTGGAGACTTCATGTCTTTAATGTTTAGCTTATCATGTTTATTTATTTTGTTTTATAGCCTTAACTGATCTGTGGCTCCAGTCTGTCATGAGCCAGTTCTAGAGGTGTCAAATGTTGATAAGGGAGAGGAGTTTTTGTTGGCAGCAGGAAATGCAAATACTCAAAAATTTATCCTCAAAAAAATGTAATTCTTGAGGGGAAGAATAACAACAGTGTCCAAGAAAGAATAAGGAGAAGCTGGCTTTTGGGTTAACTGGGAAGAAAATTGCTTTTTCAGCTCTTTTTTTTTAAGTAGAAAAGCTTGAGAAAACCCATGGGGTTGTTTTGTATAAATGTAGCAAAAATTGTCTTATTTTCTGAATTAACAGCTTTACCTTCCATAAGGCAAATCAAATTTATTGCAATGCACTGCAGGTTATCAAGAAATCCAGGATAAATTGCTGGTCACTTAAAGCATTAATTAAAAGGGATTTAAAATTGAATTTTTTGCATGGAAGTTTCTTCCTATGCCATGATTCTATGTGTGCTCCAGGAAAATCTTAAAACAATAGACACGATGATGACAAAAATGTGTAATAACCTCTTTTAGGTAACTTCCAGGTCTTGAAGAACATTTCTCTGTGTCACATCTGGGACTATGGAGGGACAAGGCTCTAACCAATGTCCTGGTCTCCTTTCTCTGCAGTGACCCAGGATCCCAGCCCACCCTCTGCCATGAAAATCCTTCCTTTTCTCCTTGTTTTCCTCTTGGTGGCATTTCACGGAGCTGCAGGTAAGGTGAGGGACTAAAGAGAAGATGTTGATGTCTTGCAAAGCTCTCCTGTCCCCTTTGGATGTGACCAAGCTGCCTCCTGCAAAGAATCCTCACATAAATCATCAAAACTCATTGGAGATTGCAGATAAGAAATTAAATTAGCAGGCAAATACTCCAAGCATCACTTTGAAAGGGGCAACCTCAAAATTACCATTCAGCACCAGCGTTTTCCCCATTAAACCCTGCAGGCTTGTACTTAAATTACTTAGCCTCTGAGTCACCCAACAAACAAATTAAATCATGATCAAGTATTCTTAAACCACACAGAAAAAAAAGAAAAAGTAATCTGGCCCCACGTTCTTCAAATATCCTTTGCTTTAGGAGCTGGGACATAAGGTGGAGAGGCACAAAATCATGATACCTGTTGGGGGGTCCAAAGGAGTCTGGGACCCCAGACCAACTCTATTGTCCAGAAGAAGGGATTTTATTTTAATATCAGCCCTGAAAATGGCACAGCTAAATTTGCAAGGTGCTCTGTGCACAAACAGAGGCTGGTGGAGTTTTGATCTCTGTGGGAACAGGATGGAAAGTGTCCTCTAGGGAAGTTAGGATGGGAAAAGTCTGTGATGAACTGCAGCAGACCAGAAATGTGGGAAAAGTGTCATATATATATTCCTGGAGGGATTTAAAAGCCATCTGGATGTGGCCCTGAGGACATGGATTAGTGGAGGGCTTGGCAATGCTGGGTTAACAGTTGGACTTGACGATCTTGAAGGTCTTTTCCAACCCAAAGGAATCTGTGATCCTATGATTTTATGTGGTTGTCTGGTGTCCTTCTTACCTGGGCCTCTGCCTGTGCCAGTTCCCAGAGGCAGGACACTGGGCAAAGAGTTCTTTGGGTCTGTTTTATGTCCTTATCTAACACACAGGGGATGTCTGGCATGTTTTCAGTAGGACCTTCTGGGTGTATTAAAGCCAGAAATTTATCTGTATCTGGGAAGAAAAGTGCTCCTGAGAGCTCAGACTGCTCACAATGCCTCACAGACTGCTAGTCTGAGACCAGGAATGTTTTATTCACCCTTTAAACCACTCCTTTATTACTCCCTGGGATTTTCTGGGTGTGTATATATCACTCTGCTGACATGCTGGGAATCCAGCCCACCAGAGATGTGCAGGATGCACTGTCCATATTTAATAACCATTTCCTGTTTGCTGGAACAAGCTCCCCTCTCTCTGAATACTTTGCAATGTTCCATGGATGAGCTGGAAACTGGAATTAATTGGTTCATGTGCACTCAGGTGCACCCAGAACACTTCAGCTGCCAGGCTGCATCTTTATTAATCGACCAAACAGGGCCAGGCAACCTCCTGCCTAATTGCTGGTCTGCTCCCTGGGGTTGTTTTGATCCCTGACAATTAGCACCTTCATGGATAAAACCTGTTCTGGGAATAGCACAGGCTGGTGGCCGTTCCCAATGGCAGTTTGAATTGTGGGTATCCTATTTTGGCATGAAAGAAGGAATTAAGAGTGTTTGCTTGGTCATTGTGCCCACAGACCTCCTCCTCTGAGGACTGAACTGTCACGTCCTTGTCAGCTCACAGGGATTAAGCAAAATGCAAATCCCTGCCGGAAATAAAATGTCTCCCATCTTTTGTTTATTTATTGGTTTATTTGTTCTTTTTTAAGGTAGAAGCTTGGCAAGGCCCAGGAGACCTTACATGGAGTGTGGGTATCGTGGGACCTTCTGCCACAGGGGGAAATGCCCTCGTGGCAACGATTACCTGGGGTCGTGTCGTTCTGGGTACAGTTGCTGTAGGTGGTAAGTTCAGGATTTGTCTGGGGCAAAGATGACTTCCCAAATTGTCACTGGAATCCCAAACAGCAGGATTTTCCTCATAATCATAATTCTGAATATCCTTTCCTTTGTAGGCTCTAGTGTGGCTAATTGTGGAGAATCTCCAGGAGTGATTGCTTTTGACATCGTTGGATTCAAGGAATTGTTGCAGCAGCAACCAAGGATTTGTCATTCTCCTTTCAATAAAAGCAAGATATCGGGAGGTTGCATGGCTGCCCTGTGTGGTATTGTCAATCATTTCCAAAAGTAATTAATTTCCCATTCATTTCCCATGTCTTATTTCCATTAAGAATTTTAAACAAGAATTGTGAAATTAATCTAGACCTGCCAGGAATGTGTAGTTCACCAAAATATTTACCCCTCTGGGGCTCCTGACAAGCACTCCACACATGCCTGCTAGGGAATTCTCTGTCATGGCTGAGATCAGTCACCATTTCCACTCGGAGCACAAAAGTCTTCTCCAGTGTGACACTTCACAGCATCTCTGCTCTGAAACCTTTGGGTTCCCATCTGATCCAGAGCTTTCAGACCTGGGAAAAAGCATATTTTATTTTTTTTTATTATGGGAACTAAAGTCACACTGAGCAGGACAAATTGGTAATCTGAAGTCTGATTTTATACTTGCCATTTCTGTCTGCTATAAATTTGGAGTGAATCTGCAAAATTTATATTTGCTGCAGTTGCAAAACAGGAGATCAGAGTTAGACCTGTGACATTGCTTGAGCCAATTATAGAAACATGTGCAAGAGGCCAAATCCACTGTGCCTCTGATCACTTCTCTTCCAAGAGATTCAGCCTGTCCTGCCCTGGACCACAAAAGAAAACCTAGAAGGTGCAAGTTGCTCAGAGAGCTCGTGTCTCTGCACAGTCAGGAGCATCCTTGTGCTGACAAGGAATCCTTCATGCCCAGAGAAGCTGTGGTTGCACCTGGGTCCCTGGAAGTGTCCCAGGCCAGGTTGGATGGGGCTTGGAGCACCCTGGGATAGTGGAAGGTGTCCCATGGCAGGGGGTGGAATGAAATGATCTCTAAGGTCCCTTCTAATCCAAACCATTCTGTGAAGGGAAGAGCAGTAATGGCTGAGTTTTTAAGGGAAGAAACCAACCCAAGTGCAAAGGACTGACTGGAAGCTCTGAGCTGCCCATTTATTGCAAAGCACTTGCCCACCCTCACAGAACCAAAGAATCACAGAATATTTAGGGTTGGAAGGCACCTCTGAGACCATCCAGTCCAACCCCCTGCCAAGGCAGGGTCAGCTGGATAATGTGACACAGGAACACATCCAGGTGGGTTTGGAATGTCTCCAAAGAAGAAACTCCATGCCCTCCCTGGGCAGCTGTTTCAATGCTCTGACACCCTCAACATAAAGAAATTCTTCCTCAAGTAGAGATGGAATTTCTTATGTTTCATTTTATGGCCGTTGGTCCTCATCCTGTGGCTGGGCATCACTGAAGAGGAGTCAGTCACCATCCTCTGACACCCCTTAGAGATATTTTTATGGATTGTTGAGATCCCCTCTCAGTATTCTCCAGACTGAACAGGCCCAGCTCCCTCACTCCCTGGCCTGTTCAAAGCAGATGTTTCTGCAAATGACTGTGCCACCACTGAAACCACAGCCTTGTGCAGGGCAGGAAGCTGGGCCAACAGTCTCCTCCAAGGCATCTCCCTGCATGGAAACTTAAGGAAGTTGCCAAGTGGAGCCAAACCAGCAATTTACAGTTGATGTCCTAAGAGATTTTTGCACAATTCACGCTAGGTGAATGTTTCACAAACTGGAATGGCACAAGATTTTTGCTCAAGGACTGGGGACTTTGCAAGGAGGGTTCAGCCCCTGTAATTTTAGTTTCATCTGCCTGTAGCCAGCATCATGCAGAATCGAGTCCCATCATGCTTTTATCTCATCACCACCACAAAGAGCTGTCCTTGCCTTTATGGCTGGGGAAGGGCTTCAAGAGCCAGTTCAGAGTGAAACAAACTGAAAGCCCCTAGGATCCATGCTGCACATCTCCACCCTGTTTCTCATCCCAACCCCATCTCCCCAGCACTCTACACATTCAAACTCACAGAATCAGAGAATCATAAAATGCTTTGGGTTGGAAGGGACCTTAAAATCATATAGATACAAACCCCCCACCATGATCAGGAACACTTTCCACTATCCCAGATTGCTCCAAGCCCTGTCCAGCCTGGCCTTGGACACTTCCAGGGATTAAGCTGATGTGTGTGCTAAAGAGCAACAGCACAGAGATGTAGCTAATTGCCCCCTGTAAGAAACCTGGACATAGCTGCTCCCACTCCCTTGCCTCCTGGGGTTTTGATGCCAAGACAGCTCAGCAGATATTAAAAAAGAATTGGGGCATGGTCTTTTCTCTTTTTCTGGCTGCAGCTGTAGGATCAGGATTTCCTTTAGTGGTGAAGGAAATAAAAAGCTGTCCTGAGTGCGCTGGCTACCATGGCAGAGTAGTAGTGATCCCCCTGGGTACAGGTCTGCAAACAGTTTGTACAATGTCCCTCACTGGGGAGTGACAAAACAATTAAAAATGGCGAGTTGTTTGGATCAAAGGCATATTTATGTACTGCCCAGAGGAGCTGTGGCTGCCCCACCCCTGGAAGTGTTCAAAGACAGGTTGGATGGGGCTTGGAGCACCTACTGGAAGGTGTCCCTGTCCATGACAGCTGGCTGGAAACTCCTGGTCCCTTCCAAACCAAATCATTGTGTGATCCCACGCTTCATGTGACTGCTTAGTAAACACACACCAGGCATGAGTGTGTTTTAAACATCCATCCCCACACACATAACGCTTGATGAAGCTGCAGCAAGGCTGAAAACATTTATGAAGATGCTCCATCAAACAGCAAAGGGTTACACACAGCAAACTCCACCAAACAAAGCCACAATTAAAGCTTGTCCTTCCTAAGGCTGCAGTTGGACAGGGATGTCATCCCAAGTGGCGTCTTCCCAGTTATTTTCAAGTGAAGCATAGAGAGAACGCGCTTCCCGCGGGGGGAGGAGGACAGAGCTCCTTTGTGTGGTGAAAGCTGAGTGTTTGCCAGGGCCTGACGAACAGGGATGCAGTGTGTGTGTCCCCAGAGGTGTCCAGCAAACCACAGCACCGAGCAGCCCTTACGCAAGGCGGGATGACACAAGACCCTGGGCTCGAGGCCTGGGAATCCTTCTCAGGTGTCAGATGAGGAAAGCTCTGCTTGTTTTTCTCTGTCGGGGGAAGGAACAGAAAAAGGAGCTTTGGGGCTGGACATTTGGGAGGATTCAGCCATCCCAAGGGATACTGTGGCACGTGGAGAGACCGAACTGCTGCTGCTGGTGCCAGGAAGCTCCGACTGCCAGGCTGCATCCTCCCACCAGTGACTGGTCACATCCCCTCTCCTCCGATCTGTCCCCGCGCAGGTGCTGCACGACCTGCAGGAAAGGATCCTCCCACTCACCTCTGCCTCCTTTCTCTTCTCCCCAGAGCTGCGACTCTGCTGGCGACTCCCAGGCATGCGGATCCTGCCTGTCCTCTGTGCTCTGCTCCTCCTGATGCTCCAGGGGGTGACAGGTAAGAAATGTGGAGGGTTTTTCCTCTGTCGGTGTTTTTTTAGAGAGGATTTGTCGCCTGAGCTGATGAGTCAGATGTGAGCTCTCCTGGTGGCGGTGCCGTTCCCACCGGAGTCCCTCTGACCCCACACCTTTAAGGAAAGACTCCAGCTGCAGGTTCTGCTGTTGGGACCAGAGCTGGGGATATTGTATTAAAGCTCTCATCCTTCCGAATCTGGGATTTGACCCCTCTCCGTGCCTCCTGACCCTTGCATTTCTGAGTCAGCAGCACTGGGCACAGCAGCCCTGCTGGAGAGGAGGAGCGTGGAGGAAGGGAAATCCTGCTTCTACCCTGGGCGTTCTCCCGTGCTCCAGGAAGGACGCAGCAGGCACGATGGAGACCTCTCCCAGAGCCTGCTTAGGGGTGTAGTGACTGTCTCCCATCCAAGTGCCACAAACTGACCTGGATTTCTGCTGCAGGCACTGCTCAGCAGTTGTGGCAGGGGACAAGCAGGGCTGGGCTAACGCTGGCCGTGCAGGGACCAGGGGCTGTGCTCAGCATGTCGGCTGAAATCTCCTCTCTCTCCGTGCCCTGCAGGGCTGTCCCCGGGTCGAGCATCAGCCCAGGACTGCGAGCGCCGCGGGGGATTCTGCTCGCACCGCTCCTGCCCGCCGGGGATCGGCCGCATCGGCCTCTGCTCCGAGCGGGAATTCTGCTGTCGGATGTGAGTTCAGGGCTGCCCGGAGGGCGCAGATTGCTGCTGCTGATGTTGGGGTTCGGGGTAAAGCTGTTGGGGAAAAAGCGGAGATTATGCAGCCCAAGGGTCCAGGGACACTGCTGACCCTCACTGCTGCCCTGGCTGGGACCCGCACTGCCAGACCTTTCCTCCCGCAGGCGCTGGTATCCCTGATCCCGGATCCCCGAGCAGGACTCCAGGCCAGGACGATGCTGCCCGGGGGCACCAAGCACTGCCGGGGGCAGCAGCAGCCCCGCACAGCCAGACCTGGATCCCGTGGGAATCTCACCCCCCAGTGTCCCCAATACAAGGTGGTGGTCGTTCCCGCTGCCAAGATGTGTATCCTGGGTGTGCATCTCTTTCCTCCGTGCATAGGGAAGGGCAGAGATGATGGGGTGAATTCCTGACAGATGTGGACACACAAACACTGTCCCACCATCCACCCTCTCTCCATGCTGGCCTCAGCCACACCAGCATCTTCACATGTGGTGGGAGGGGGGACACAGGTGACACTCACAGGGACCCCAACGTCAGCCTTTTGGCTCAGCAAGGGGACCCCAGAACCTCTCACACAGGGATGGAGGGGTGGCTGTGACCACCCTAATTTCAGTGGGGACCTGCTGGTTGTCCACCTTCTCCCGGGCTGGGTCAGGAGTCCTTGTGGGGCTGTTCCATGGGACACACATTGCCCTGGTGTCCTTGGGTCCATCCCCAGCTGTGGGGTACCACGGGGGTTGTGGGGTCCAGGGGTATCTGAGGGGTATGAGAAGTCATTCTGCTCCAGAGGAAATAGGACTGCTGGCTGTGCCATGGGGCTTCTTAGGAGCTTTGGATTGAGTTGGGGGTTAGAGCTGGGGGGGTTTCAAGGCCTGGGGGCTCAGTTAGGAGCCCAGGTGGGTCATTGTGGATGATTGGTGTGGCAGATCCAGGATGCTCAGCTCAGGGTTAGGGTTAGGCTTAGGATTAGGGTGCCATGGGGCAGTGACCATGGGGATCCTGGGACAGGGGACACCCACTGCTCCCCTCCATGAGGCAGGGCAGCCAGAGGTGAGAGCAGCCTCTCCTGGGGTATTGGGCATTGCTGTGGGCACAGGGAAGGTCAGATCAGGGTCCAAGTCTGGGTCTGGATCAGCAACGCCAAGCTGCAGCTCTGATGGGGTCAAGCACAAGATTCCCAGGTTAGAGCAGCTTCCCAGGGCAGGGCTGGCCCCAGCCATGGCCTCCCTGCAGTGGGGATTACAGAAGTCATTTCCACACCATAAGCAGCCATCCCTGGCTGTGCTGCTCTGGGCTGGTCCTAAGTCTGGTTCCAAACGGGATTACAGAAGTCATTTCCACACCATAAGCAGCCATCCCTGGCTGTGCTCGGTCTGGGCTGGTCCTGAGTCTGGTTCCAAAACTCCAGGAGCAATGATATTCCAAGGACAGCAATGGACACCCATCCTAATTCCACAGACTGATGCTCAAGGAATGTCCCCATCATGCATCAAGGCCAGGTTGGACAGGGCTTGGAGCATCCTGGGATAGTGAAAGGGGTTGAAATGAGATTAATTCTAAAGTTCCTTCCAACCCAAACCATTCCATGATTCCATGTATCTCTCTGAGAGATGACACCAGCCCCTATGTCCCTCATGTATCCAACCACAATTCCCATTCTCCTCTCCAGGATCCAGCTCCAGGAGCTTTGGTCTCTCTGAGCAATGCACCAGCACCATGGAGACACAGCACAGACAGACTGTTTGTACAAAAAAGGGTTACAAATAAAGTTTACTAGGAGTGTAGGACAGGCAATAAGATGGATGTTGGGCATGGCCAGGAAGCAGCCATGGATACATTCCTTCTTTCTCTCTAATAATCTTTCCTCCATGAGCCACCTTGACCTTTATCTTTCTGAAATACCACAGAATTCCTATAAAACCAAAACCACTCCTGATGAGGTTCACATCTCTAAGGCCTGATAAGGCCTTGTTCACCTTCCTTCACTAATCTCCCACAGATTGCCCATTTTTATACAGCATTTTGCTGCTGTTGACCCACATTTGTAGATTTTGTACCAAGTAGGGCAGTTTCAGAAGCAGTGGATTCAGCCAGAATGAGGTGAGGTGTGGTCTCCCCTGAGTGCATTTCCTCTTTGCACTGCTTGACTATTTGAGTAAACATCAGAAAGGCACCCTTAGGCTTATCACTTTCTGTCAGGTGCAATGCAAGTCACCTTGGCAAGGATGAAGCTGTCCTTGTGATGTTAAAAGAGAAGGAAACCAAATTTTTTTTTAATGTTTCTGTGTGTCACACAGCACCAACTCCCTAAGCACACTTACAGGACAGGAAGAGAAGAATATTTTGTCAAAGAATCTCAGAATGGTTTGGTGAAGAAGGGGCTTTTAATGTCATTCAGTTCCACCCCCTACCATGATCAGGGACACCTTCTATGATCCCAAGTCCCATCCAACCTGGCCTTGGACACTTTCAGGGCTGAGGCAGCAAACTCTGGGCAATCTGTGCCAGGGCCTCACTACCCTCTCAGGAGAGATTGGTTGGGACTGGCTCCTACTTCTGCCTGCACCCACCAGCCTGTTTTGTCCATCCCAGGCAGTTCATGCCATGCCACCACAGCCTGGGTGCCTCTGTGCCGTGGGTGTCACAAGAGGTGTTGCATGAGGACAACGGTGACAATTGCAACAGCCCCAGGAGGCACTTCAGCCTCTGCTGTTGCATCAGAGAGGGAAAAGGAGAAGTCCCAGCATCCCCACATGGATGGGTGGTTTTCTGATTGGCCAAGGGGAGATGTGTCAGCAAAAATCAGTGATTGTCCCCACGGCTTGCAACAATATAAAATCAGAGCGTTTTGGCCAAAAAAGTGCTCCTGTTGGAGTGTGCCCTCTGTTGACAGAGTGACAAATCTTTTGTCCCCCTAAAAAGGAAAGAAGCCCAGAAGCTTCTCTCATCGATTAGGTGAAAAGCCACCTCACAGGACCTTGGAAACTTCACCTCAGACTTAAGGGTAGCTAATTGGACCGAAACCAAAAAGTCCTGCCTGCGCATTTTAGTAGAAAAAGAGGAGAACAAAGAAAATAATCGCTTTTGTCAGATGTTTTACCAGCAGCAAGATCTCTTGCACCTGGCTGGATTTTTCTGTTTGTTATTTTGCCTTTTATTAAACCTTTTTGTTTCCAACACTGCAGCAGAAGCCATCCTGCTTATTTTTATGCCTCCAAGGGTAGCTGAGCTATCTTGGGTGTGATATAGGCCTCTGAGAGCTTATTAGACCTGGCTCAAGGAGGCTACTATATCATGCTCCTTGAACCCAAGGGTCACTGGACACAGTGATTCCTCTTGGGTTTTTTCTTGCCTGAACACCCAGACCTTCATCAGGTAGGTGACTCTGGGGTCTCCTGAAAAATGATCAGATGAGGTAATGGATTTCCCAGAGACTGAAACATCATTAAATGCTCCTGAGGTTGGCAGGATGGCACAAAACACAGAATTCTTTTTAAGAGGAAAGTAGAGGAAACATCATTTGCTGTAGCTGGAGGCAGCCTGTTGGGAACACCCCATGTGTGGAGACGCGAGGCTTGAATCCATGTTTCAGAAGGCTGGTTTATTATATTATAATATATATTATATTATAATATTGCATTAAAACTATACTAAAAGAATAAAGAGAAAAAGATCATCAGAAGGCTTGAAAGAACAAGAATAGAATGCATAACAAAATCTTGTGACTCTGAGTCTGATGCAGCTGCATCTGTGATTGGCTCTTAATTAGAAACAACTGACGTGCACCAATCACAGATGCACCTGTTGCATTCCACAGCAGCAGATAGTTATTGTTTACATTTCTTTCCTGAGGCCCTCAGCTCTCAAGAGGGAAAAATGCTAGCAGAGGACTTTTCATAAAATATCATAGTAACAGCAGCCCCTCTGCAGTTTGGTGAACCAAAGAGCCCAGGCTCCTGCCCCACCTGGGTCCTGCCTGTCCCCATTGCCTTCGTGTCCCCTCTGCAGCTCTGTGAAGACCCAGGAGAAGCAGCAGTCATGAAGATCCTGTTCCTGCTCTTCCCCCTGATCCTCGTGTTGGTCCAGAGTTATTCAAGTGAGAGGCAAAGTGGAAAGATGGGGAAATGTGTGATCCTTCATTACTGGGGTTTTCCATGTCCTGGGAAGTGATCACTGTAGTGGGAGTGATGCAAAGGTAAGGGGGGATTGAGGAGAAAGGTGTTTCTCCAGTGATAGTTCTATAGGACACAGACTTGGGGTGGAAAGAGCCCATGGAAATAGAATACTGGCTGCTTTGGTGGGTCAGGAAGGGGTTTGGTTTCAGGCTTCCACCCTGCACCCAGCTGTTCCTCTTTGGGTGTCTCTGAACGTTCTTCTGCCCTGTGTGTGATCTTTGCTGTGGGGAGGTTGGAGCTGTATCCATCCACTGGCCAGAAATGCACAAACACCACCAGCTTTTTGCAACCACACACTGCTCTCACAGATTATTGCTTTAATTGTTCTGTATGCTTATTTCCCTATGAAAATGAAAAATGCAGCTGGATGCAGGCAAAGAGGGGAATACTGCACTTATGGGAGATGCAACTTCCCTGCGAGACACACTGGGAGATGCACACGGTACAGTGTGTGCTGCAAGAGATAAGGTCTGGAATCCTGCCTGAGGACAGAGTTCCCTCCTCTGTCCACAATAAAATATGTAGCAAAATTATTTCCTGCAAATGCCTGCTACAAAATCTCCTTCTCTATTCCTTGTGGGAGAGATGCCCATAAGGGAGGGAAAAGACTTTGTGGGTTTTGGAGCTGAGAGTGGAGTTGCAGCAGCCTCAGGTCAACCAGGGCCTCCCAACTCACCAAAGCCACCAAAGAGAGAAACATTCCTGGTCCTTGGGCAGCACCGAGGACATGATCCAGGTCCAGCTGCATCTGCACAGAGCTGGAGCCAGGGCTGCCAGCACTGAGATAGCCCAGCTCCAACCTGTCTGCACCAAGGACTGCACCTCAGACCGACCCTGAGCCTGACTCTGCTGCAGCACACCCTGGGCATTGCAGGGCAGGGGAGAGAGTGGCAGGGAAATGTACACCAGCTGATGTGCTTGTCTGCTTTCTTTTTACACTATGTGGGTTAAAACCCTGAAATTCCTGAGAAGGACATCCCATTTGCTTCTGGCTGCTGAAAATCACCTCCTGATGTCCCCCACTTTCATGGGCCATGTCAACTTACTAGGGTGCTATTTTAACAATTAACTGTTATAGCATAAAAGCAAAAGTTCTCTTCATCCATCTCTGGGAAAACCGAGGTTTTCTTCTTGTATCCCTGGGGCAAAGTTTCTTATGTCTCTCATCTCTCTGTTCAATCTTCTCATTGGATCACAGCACTGCACCATCTGCTTATTTCAACAGTGGTGCTTCTGCTCACTCCTGTAGTTGAATGGTACAGCTGCATCCCCCACAATGCATTCCATGAATTACAGGGGGAAAAAAAGTTTGACATAGCAATTATACCTTCACCATAGCCCCACAAGAGAATTTCAGCCCAAAAACTGAGGCATCTCCTCAATCCCCTCCCATCTACAATTCGACTCCTTCCTCACTGTCCTCAGTGTCCCATGTTCTTTTCTCTGCATGTCTTCACCCTTTCCTTTTTCTTATTCAGGAGAGAAACGGTGTTCGTGGGCTAATTTTCTCTCAAGCTTTATCAATTGAAACAATTTTTATAGATTTCTGCAGTGCTGAAAGGTTGATCTCATCCAGACTCTGCATCAGGGAAATCACTCGCCGTGCCTCTCTCTTGGTCACGAGGTATCTGCCAACACCGTATGAACCGTAATGGCTGCCAGCTCTACTCACTGCTTTTCTTCATGCAAAACACTGAAAATAAGAAAAGCTGCTGCTGCTGGTTTTGTTACCTTCACCATAGCCCCACAAGAGAATTTCAGCCCAAAAACTGAGGCATCTCCTCAATCCCCTCCCATCTACAATTCGACTCCTTCCTCACTGACCTCAGTGTCCCATGTTCTTTTCTCTGCATGTCTTCACCCTTTCCTTTTTCTTATTCAGGAGAGAAACGGTGTTCGTGGGCTAATTTTCTCTCAAGCTTTATCAATTGAAACAATTTTTATAGATTTCTGCAGTGCTGAAAGGTTGATCTCATCCAGACTCTGCATCAGGGAAATCACTCGCCGTGCCTCTCTCTTGGTCACGAGGTATCTGCCAACACCGTATGAACCGTAATGGCTGCCAGCTCTACTCAGCACTTTTCTTCATGTGAAACATAAAAACAAGAAAAACTACTGCTGCCAGTTTTGTCCTTCTGTCCGCAGCATGGCTGGCTAAAAGCAGCTAAACAAAATTCATTGACAGCCATGCCGAGGCAGCCACGGCCGTGCGCCGTTGTCCCGGTTGTGCCGATTTCGGCCGCGCAATCCTGGCCACGTGGCTGCTTCCAGTCCAGAATGGGAATGGCCATGTGGCCAGTCCTGGCTCTGGCTGCTCCTGGCCTCGGAGCTGCCCCCAGCCCAACTGTGGGGCCACTCCTAGTGCTGGTCTTGGCTGCATGGTTGCTCTCGGTGCCAGCATAGCCCCTGGCATGGCCTGGTGGCGCTGCTGGAATAAAGGACCGTGGGCACCACTGGTGTTAGGAAAATTAAATGACAAACATCAGAGGTTTATGTCCAAAAAGGAGACAGAGGAGACCTTTTACTTTATTCAAATAAAGGGAGAGGCCATAGGGCATTCTCCTGGGGTCTCAAATTTTTGGGGCCTCCCTTTTTATCTTAATTTTCCAGCCTTATTTCCCTTTTCTCTTTCCCCATTGGCTGAGGTACTTGAGAGGTACAGACTTCCCAATACACCTGATAACAAAGATTTCCCTCTAATGTATAACCCTCCCTTTTAATTTTTAATCCTTATGGAATTTAGGGGTTTTTCTTCCCCATTATTTCTTTCGTCTTTCAATGTCTAATTTCATTTTTTGGTAAACCTCAAGTTTATTTGTAAAAGCAAATATCTTTTTCCATTCATCAATCAGTGGAATCCTTCCCATTGTTTCTTTCATCTCCTAGTGCTAGCTTTCTCTACCAGCAGACCCAAGCTTGTTTGTAAAGACAAATCTGCTATTCCTCTAACTGGGAAAGGGGCCTGGCCCCATCAGGAAGGGGCTTTGTTAGGTTTCTTTTTCTCGGGCCAGGTCTTATAAACCCTCAAAAGGGAACCTAACACACCCAAGGATAGCTTAGCTATTAGCTTTTGGGGGCATATAATAAGCAGGATGGCTTCTGCTGCAGTGTTAGAAACAAAAAGGGTTTAATAAAAGGCAAAATAACAAACAGAAAAACTCAAGCCAGGTACAGAGGTCTGCTCCTGGTATAAATACCTCACAAAAGCAGTTTAGTTCTTTTTGCTCTCTTCTTTTCTACCTGATGGGCCAGGCAGGACTTTTTGGCTTCTATCCAATTAGATGACCTCGAGTTTTTGGTGAAGTCTCTGAGGTCCTATGAGGTGGCTTTTCACCTAATCGTTGAGAGGAACTTCTGGTCTTCTTTCCTTTTTTGGGGGACAAAGGATAGCTTTGCCGCTCTTGTCCTTAGGGGGCACAATCCTACAGGGCTTGGCAGGCCTGTGAGGGGCTCAGCAGCCTGCTCACCACCCCTCAGAGGGCAGAAATCTCAGCCATGCCACGTCCTGCTGCAGGCCGAGCCAGCCTGGCCACACAGGGCCTGCCCGGCCTGGCCAGTTACCATTCCAAGCCTGGAAGCCAAAAGACCTTTCCTGGCCTTTGTTGGTTTTTAAATGTGCCTTCATGGGGGCGTGTTCAACTCTTTTAAGTGGTTGAACCAGGTGTCAATCTTCAAAACTAGCCAGCTGATTGGCTCTGCCAGGCCTCTTCAGGGAACCGCCCCTGCGGCCTGTGGACTGCGCCCAACTGAAAATCAGACTTCGTTAAACCGCGACGCTGGAAAGAGAGTAAAGGCCTTCCTGTGAGTCTAAGAGGCCAGAACTTGTGGAAAGTTAACTTGAAGTTTCCTAAGTACAGGAGAGACCGTGATGGTGCCTTGATGGTGCAGGAGGGAGACAAGAATCTCATTGCTGGGGGAATGGGGGCTTTCCCTAGGAAAGGAAGGAGATTCTATTCCCACAGTGGTATGGAGATTTCCCATAATTCCAGGCTTTCAGCAGTTCCAAAAGCAATTTTATCTCCCTCTACCCAGTTTCACTGGTCATTTATTTGGTTTGAATTGGCAACTTGGCCTCAGGTCTGTGGTCTGTGCTCAGGGAAAGGTCTTTGGAAGAGCTCTGAGGAAGGTCATGGGAATGAATCCTCTTAGGTCATTGATTTCCTATAGACCAAGTCATAGTGTAATACCCCAGGTATTGAAGGGTAGAACAAACCTAAGAATGTTTTAAGGAGAAAGGTGGAGGAAATGTTATCTTTTGTGGCTGGAAGCAGCCTGTCTGCAGCTTTGGTGAACCACAGAGCTCTGCAACACAGGCTCCTGCCCCACCTGGGGTCCTGCCTGTCCCCATTGTCTTGGTGTTCCCTCTGCAGCCCTGTGACGACCCAGAAGGGGCAGCAGCCATGAAGATCCTGTTCCTGCTCTTCCCCCTGATCCTTCTGTTGGTCCAGAGTGCTGCAGGTGAGATGGGAAGAGGGGAAATAGGGGAAAATGTGAGCACCCACCAGTAGCAATTCCCCTGAAAATGACCCTGTTTGTGGGAATGTTGAGAATGTAATGGGGTATCAAGGTCAAAGCTGGTTTTTGAGTGAGTTCCCAGCTGCACACTGATGTGGGGTGGAGAGACACCATAGGAAAAAAGCCTGACTTGTTCTGTGAGCCAGGGAGGGGTTTGGTTTCAGGCCCCAATCCTGCACCCAACAATTCCTGTTTAGGAATCTCTTGCCCTGCACAGGGATGGCAGAGAGCCCCAGGGGTGTCTGGATGGGGGGGTTTCCTGAGGCAAAAAGGTGACAGTTTTCATCCAGTGGTTCATCCTCTGAGTGTCCCAAATCTTCATCACCCCAAGGGATGATCCCTGCAAGGGCTGGACAAGGACTTTTCATCAGAGGTCGCACAAATCGCGGCACAGCCAGGACAGGTATGTGGGATGTGAGGAGTCCCTGCCTGCCAGCAGGACTGCAAGCACACCCTGCTCTTCCAGATTACTGCTGTTATTATTCTCTGTGTGTCTTTCCCCATGGAAAAAGGGAGTAACCTTCAATGCAGAGAGAGAGGAGGAATCTGTTCATCTGTAAGATGCCGCCCCCCTCTAAGAACTATTGGAAGATGTACAAACATAGACTTTTGCTGCAGAAGGTAAGACCTGGTTTTTCTGGCTAAGGAGAGCTTTCTCATTTTCTCTTCCACTGAAGAATCTGTTAAAAATGTCTTTATTGACGACTCATGATAAATACTTGCCTGCATTTATGCCTTGATAGAGATGCTCAAGAAGAAAGAGAAAATTCTTTGAGTGTTTGGAGCTGCACTGAGTAGGGCTGAAGAAGACTAAAGACAGCCAGGGCCTCCCCACTCACCAAAGACACCAAAGAAGGAAACATTCCCTGTCCTTGGGCAGCACCAAGGACATGATCCAGATCTTTCTGCATTTGCACAGAGCTGGAGCCAGGGCTGCCAGCACTGAGATAGCCCAGCTCCAACCTGTCTGCACCAAGCACTGCACCTCACCTCCCTTGAGCCTGACTCTGCTGCTCCACACCCTGGGCATTGCAGGGCAGGGGAGAGAGTGGCAGGGAAAGTTACACCAGTTGATGTGCTTGTCTGCTTTCTTCTTACAGTTTTATGGGTTGAAGCCCTGAAATTCCAAAGCAGGACATCACCCATTTGCTTCTGGCTGCTGGACCCATGTGCTGATGTCCCCATGTGCTGATGTGCCCATGTGCTGATGTCCCCTGCCCTCGCTGGCTGTGCCGTGCCCAGCTGGGCTGACAGCAGCAGTGGCAGCTGCTCCTGCTGGCTGCTGCTGGGCTGGAGCCCTGTGGTGTCAGGCCCGGTGTCTTTGGGGCAGGGGCTGCTTTTCCCGGCTTGAATAAAGAGCAGCACTTTGGCATTGCAGGGCTGGGCCGTGTGTGCGTGTGCTGCTGCTGCTGCAGGGCTGCTGTGCCTGCTGGCCCTGGGGCTGCCACTGCCTTGGTGGCAGCACAAGGCCCTGGCCGTGGTGCTGGGGCTGAGCAGCGCCTGTGTCCCTGGGGATGCTCCTGCCTGGCCCTGCTTTGGGGACGCTGAGCCTGGCAGTGCCTGCTGGGCCAGGCTGGCTGGGCTGCCTGTGGTGGGGCTGCCCTGCAGATGCTCCCTCTGGGGGAACTGGGATCCCTGTGCTGGTCCTGCCAGTCCCCCATGTCCCTTGTCCCTGTCAGCCATGGCCTCACGTGCAGAGCTGTGCTGGAGGATGTGTCCCTTGAGTGGCCTTTGCTATGGTGACCCACAGGAGCTGTCCCTGATGCTCCTCCTTGTCCTGTTCCAGCACCTCAGCCCTCCCTGCTGTTTCTGTGCTGCTCCACACCTCATCCCATCAGACCGGAGTGGGAGGACGCTGTTCACATCTTGGGTTGGGTGACCCTTGAAAAGATGCCATTGCTGTGGGAATGAACACATTTGTTTGGCCATGGGAGTATGCAGAATGTCCTGGCCTCTCTGCCCATCTCAGGCAGTCTGGAGTGACAATTCTCTGTACCTTGAAAGGCAGGGGCTTCTCCCTGTGTGTGGAGCAGACCTCGGGCACTGGCATTTGAGTGGTTTACTACATGTGTGTGTGTCAGTGTACTTGTGGGTATAAGAGTAACTGGGGACCCTGCCTGGCTTAGGGACAGCATTATCCCCCAGGAATCAGTGAGTCATAGAATTGGTGATGTTGGGAAAACCCTTTAAGCTCATTGAGTGCAACCATTGCCCCAGCACTGCCAAGGCCACCACTAAACCAAGTCCCCAAATGCCACATCCAGATGGCTTTTAAATACTCCAGAGGTAGTAATTCCACTACGGCCCTGGGCATCCTGTCCCAACACTACTGATTATGCAAAGAAACTGTTCCTAATACCCAACTGAATCCTTCCCTGGTTCTACTTTTGGCCATTTCCTCTGCTCAATTCACACTTGTGAGAAGAGACCGACACCAAAAATTTTTTTTGTCAATCCTCTCTAGAGCTGCAAAGTTTGGTGAGGGATGTTCATATGAACCCTGCCTGCTGTGGCCCTTCCTTCCCCTGTGCTAAACCTGAAATTTTATTTTGTCCCTCTTCTTTACAAACTATGCAGACAAGGTTGCTGAAGTGAAATGAGAGCTAAGTCTTTCCTCTCACTGTACAAAGCAGAGCAAGATTGCTATATTCAGTCAGATCATCCACATCCCACTCTGAGTATTTATAACATCAGGGAAATGAAAGAATGCAAAGAAGCAAACCATTTCCTCATTTCTGCTCTTCCCAGCATGAATCACTCTGCCTTGTCCATGCCAGCCCTCTCCTGCCCAGCCCGGTGCTGCTGTGCCGCGGGTGTCACAAGAGGTGTTGCATGGGGACAACGGTGACATTGATTGCAACAGCCCCACCAGGCCCCTCAGCCTCTGCCCCTACAGCAGCAGGGAGGGAGCAGGGCCAGCCCCAGCACCCCCACAGCCATGGGGCACTCCCGGGTTGGCCCAGGCCACTTGTGCCAGCAGCAACTGGGGCCTGTCCCACCCACCAGCACTGCTATAAACCCAGCCTGTTTGGGGCACTGCAGCATTGCCTGGCCCCAGGGGCATCTGCACACAGCCATTCCTGCTGCCTTTGCTGCTGCCTGAACATCCAGATCTTCTCCAGGCAGGTGAGTGCGTGGCCTTTCCCTGGAATCCTGCCCACCCAAGGTCTCAGCTCAAAGCCCATCACCACAGAATCTCCTGAAGCACAAACTGCTTGAATTATCCAGGTGTAAATCATGACCATCAGAGATGCCTGGGAAAGAGAATAAAAGTCTTTAAGAGAAGTCTATGAGTCCAGAACATTCAGAAAGATAAATTTTGGTTTCCTGAGTGCCTGAGAGACTCGGTTGGAGCCTTTGCTACAAGAGGGAGATGAGATAATTTTTGAGAGAATGGGGACTGCCTTAGCAAAATAGGGAGGCACTTTTCCCAAAGCAGTATGGAGATTCCTCATAATTTCAGGCTTTCAGTAGCTGCACAGGTTGATTTCCCATTTCTGGCCAGAGCCCCAGCACCCCCACAGCCATGGGGCACTCCCGGGTTGGCCCAGGCCACTTGTGCCAGCAGCAACTGGGGCCTGTCCCACCCACCTGCACTGCTATAAACCCAGCCTGTTTGGGGCACTGCAGCATTGCCTGGCCCCAAGGGCATCTGCACACAGCCATTCCTGCTGCCTTTGCTGCTGCCTGAACATCCAGATCTTCTCCAGGCAGGTGAGTGCATGGCCTTTCCCTGGAATCCTGCCCACTCAGGGTCTCTGCTTAAAGCCCATCACCACAGAATCTCCTGAAGCACAAACTGCTTGAATTATCCAGGTGTAAATCATGACCATCAGAGATGCCTGGGAAAGAGAATAAAAGTCTTTAAGAGAAGTCTATGAGTCCAGAACATGCAGAAAGATAAATTTTGGTTTCCTAAGTGCCTGAGAGACTTGGTTGGAGCCTTTGCTACAAGAGGGAGATGAAATAATTTTTGGGAGAATGGGGACTGCCTTAGCAAAATAGGGAGGTACTTTTCCCAAATCAGTATGGAGATTCCCCATCCTTTCAGGCTTTCAGTAGCTGCACAGATTGATTTCCGTTTCTGGCCATTTCCCTGCCCTCTGGCTGCTCCCTTGGTCAGTGCTTCCCAGGGCAGGGACAGCAAGTGTGGGGCGGGGAATGTTCTTGCTGGGAATCATAAAAATACTCTGGAATTGGGAATGGGCACAGCCAAGTTGAGCTGGGAGAATATTCTTGATCCCAGGGAAGCAAAGGGAATTGGTCAGGGTGTTTGGGGCATGTGTTTGATACATAAAGTCCAAAGAGGAACAGCCCTGTATTGCCATAATGTTCAATGACAATTTTACGTCTGCCTTTTCCAAATTTCACTGGCCATTTATCCTGATTTCGTCAGCAACAGTGGGTCCCAGATCTGCAGTCTGTGCTCTGGGAAAAGGTTTTAGCAGACTAGTGAGGAAAGTAATTGAATCAGTGTAGGTTATTGATTTCCCAGAGATTGAGACAATGGAATACTCCCAAGTTTGAAGGCACGTACACACCTGAGAATTGTTTTTAGAGAAAGGTAGAGAAAACATGATCAGATGTGGCTGGAGGCAGCCCCTCTGCACTTTGCTGAGCCACAGAGCCCTGCAACACAGGCTCCTGCCCCACTCAGGGTCCTGCCTGTCGCCATTGCCTTGGTGTCCCCTCTGCAGCCCTGTGAAGACCCGGGAGAGGCAGCAACCATGAAAATCCTGTTCCTGCTCTTCCCCCTGCTCCTCCTGCTGGTCCAGGGTGCTGCAGGTGAGATGGGAGGAAGGGAAATGGGGTGTGAGCCCAACCAGGGTAATTCAGTGTCCCTGGAAGTGACTGTGTTTGTGGGGGTGATGAGAAGGTAACAGGGGATTGAGGTCAAAGGGGTTTTCAAGTGAGTTTCCAACTAGACAGCAATTTGGGGTGGAGAGAGCCCATGGAGACAGAATCCTGGCTTCTTCTGTGGGTTGAGAGGGGGTTTGATTTCAGGCTCCAAGCCTGCACCCAGCTGTTCCTGCTTGGGACTCTCTGGATGTTCTCTTCCTCTACAGAGATGGCAGAGGGCCCCATGGGGTGTTTGGATGGGGGGGTTTCCTGGGCCACAAAGGTGACATTTCTTATCCAGTGGTTCATCCACTGAGTGTCCCAAAACTTCATCACTCCAAGGGATGATCCCTGCAAGAGCTGGACAAAGACTTTTCATCAGAGGTCACACAAATCATGGCACAGCCAGGACAGGTATGTGGAAAGTGAGGAATCCCTTCCTGCCAGCTCTGCTGGTCCAGGCAAAGGTGGGAAAGCAGCTGGGAGACAGCACAGCTCTTCCTCAACCTCACGCTGGTCCTTTCCACTCTCTGTTCTAGTGTGTCTCCAGTTTAGGGTCACAGGGACCTTCCAGGGGAGACACATTGCATTTGCAGATGTGAATGTGGGGGGCTGGAGCTGAGCCCTTCTCTTGGCCTGAAATGCATGGGGAGCATCAGCCTGACTATATGAACACTGCTCTCCCTGATTGTTGCTTTAATTGTTGCATGTGTGCCTTTCCTCGTGGAAATAGGAAGTGAACTTCAGTGCAAACACAGAAGAGGATACTGTTCTTTTGGGAGATGTGTCCCCCCTGCAAGGCCTATTGGTAGATGTACAGGACAAACCATCTGCTGTAGAGGGTAAGATCTGCAATCTGGCTGGGGAAAGATTAATTTTTTTTTCCCTAGAAAGATCTGTTACAAATTTCCTTCTTGCCAACAGTTGAAAATGCTCTCCTGCATTTACGCTTTCTAAAAGATGCCAAAAAAAAAAAAAAAAAAGGGAAAAGTCAATGATGGGTTTGGAGCTGCCCTGAGTGGGGCTGCCAGGGCCAGGTCAGCCAGGGCCTCCCAACTCACCAAAGCCACCAAAGAAGGAAAAAGTTCCCTGTCCTTGGGCAGCACCCACAACAGGCACTGGGCTGATTCCCACAGGGAGACAGAGCAGTGTCTACCTTTCCATGCCCTGCCCTCGCTGGCTGTGCCGTGACCAGCTGGGCTGCCAGCAGCAGTGGCAGCTGCTCCTGCTGGCTGCTGCTGGGCTGGAGCCCTGTGGTGTCAGGCCCGGTGTCTTTGGGGCAGGGGCTGCTTTTCCCGGCTTGAATAAAGAGCAGCACTTTGGCATTGCAGGGCTGGGCCGTGTGTGCGTGTGCTGCTGCTGCTGCAGGGCTGCTGTGCCTGCTGGCCCTGGGGCTGCCACTGCCTTGGTGGCAGCACAAGGCCCTGGCCATGGTGCTGGGGCTGAGCAGCGCCTGTGTCCCTGGGGATGCTCCTGCCTGGCCCTGCTTTGGGGACGCTGAGCCTGGCAGTGCCTGCTGGGCCAGGCTGGCTGGGCTGCCTGTGGTGGGGCTGCCCTGCAGATGCTCCCTCTGGGGAACTGCGATCCTTATACTGGTGTTAATAAGCCCAGATATCATTCATTTCTCTGGACTCTGTTCCCATGCCAGAAGACATGCACTGGGACCTGTGGTCACAGTGGCAACGCTTCATCCCTAAAATACCCTCAGCTTTGTTCCAAGGTCACAGCTGCAAAACCTGCAGCAGGAGCCATTCCTCAATGTAATGGCAGTGAACAATCTCAGGGAGCATAGTATTGCCACCAGGGGAACTCACATGGAACTCATGAATTTGATAGGGATAAAATAAATGTCTGAACTAAAAGGCTTGCTGTGCCTTCTTTCATTTGCATTATTTCTCTATGGAATACTCACTGTCCACAGCACAGCTTCACTGTAGCATCACTTAAAACCTCCATTTTTACGTAAATTCAATCCATTATTATCTTGTCTGCTGCTGTCTGGAGCACTGGGGAGGGAAAGAGCACAGAGACCAGGCTGGAATCACCAGTAGCCCAAAAGTTCCTTTTCCTGTTTCTCCCCCTGCACCAGAGAAAAGGAGGCTTTGGTTTCCTCTTCTGACACCTCTGACAAGGATTCCCAACTCAGAGCTTTGTGTCATCCTGCCATGTGTAAGGACATTGTGGTGCTGTGGCTTGCAGGACACATGCAGGGACACAGACTGAGACCCTGCTCACTGGAAACCAGCACTGACCTGATGCTCTGGCACAGAGTGGCACATTTCCTGAGTCCCTTCATGAAATCCTCCCAGTGAACCCACCATCAGTGATATGTGCAGGTTCTGCCTCTGATACTGCTGAGCATGCAGAATCCCTCTCTCACATTTTTTCTGATTGTGACCTTGTCACTGTGACTTCACACCTCAGGATTGTGCATGAGAAAATGCCAAGATGTTCTGCTGGCAAATCCCTAGCACCTGACCCAATGTAATCTGGGGGGACCAGATTGCTCTGCCAAACACCTGGAGCAGGAGCTGCCAAAGTGGGCACATGGCACAGACCCTCCTGCCTGGCAAGGACTGTCACTTCTCCCAGTGGCATGGCTGGCATCAAACTCACTGGATTCACAAGTGATGGCTGCATCCAGCTTGTATTTCTTCACCTTGGTTGGCATTAGAAGGAGGCACAGTTCTGCTGGATCTCCTGGTTTGCAGAATTTGTCGTCTATCCTGTGTTGCTCCCCCTTTATCAGAAGCATCTCTAGAGAGAACCCTGTTGTGGTGAACACTCTGTGTGTGAAGACATGAGGCTTGACTCCATTTCAGAAATTTGATTTATTATTTTATATATATATATATTTTATTAAAACACTACATTAAAACTGTACTAAAAGAACAGGGAGAGAAGAATGATCAGACGGTTACAAAGAACAAGAATAGAATAGAATGCTTAACAAAATCCTGCGACGGCTCACAGCCTCGACACAGGTGGCTGTGATTGGTCATCAAGTGAAAACAATCCACATGGACCAATGGAAGATGAACCTGTTGCATTCCACAGCAGCAGATAGTTACTGATTCCATTTCTTTCCTGAGGCTGCCACCTCCACAGGAGGGGAAAAATCCTAGGAAAGGATTTTTAATAAAATGTCATAGCTACAGAACCCTGCTTATCCCTCATAAATGTCAGATGCACTGACCTGGTGTCTAATAAGATGTTCTTGAAATTTCCATAATTGTTTTCTATATTCTGTGGCTATTTGAATACCCCACACCAGCTGGTTTTTCAATTGCAGTAGGAAAGAAAGACAACAGATAGGAAGGGTGAAATGTTTTCATATTAACAGAGTTTAAATCAAATATATTAGGAAGGAATCCTTCCCTGTGCGGGTGGTGAGGCTGTGGCACAGGTTGCCCAGAGAGGCTGTGGCTGTGCCATCCCTGGAAGTGATGGGGCATCCAAGGCCAGGTTGGATGGGGATAAAACAGATAAAATGGGAGGTCACATAGAGGAAAACCATTTCTTCATTTCTCCTCTTCCCAACACCAACCCACCTCTCTTGTCCATCCCAGCCCTCTCCTGCCCATCCCGGTGCCGCTGCGCCGTGGGTGTCACAAGAGGTGTTGCATGGGGACGACGGTGACATTGATTGCAACAGCCCCACCAGGCCCCTCAGCCTCTGCCCCTACAGCAGCAGGGAGGGAGCAGGGCCAGCCCCAGCACCCCCACAGCCATGGGGCACTCCCGGGTTGGCCCAGGCCACTTGTGCCAGCAGCAACTGGGGCCTGTCCCACCCACCTGCACTGCTATAAACCCAGCCTGTTTGGGGCACTGCAGCATTGCCTGGCCCCAAGGGCATCTGCACACAGCCATTCCTGCTGCATTTGCTGCTGCCTGAACACCAAAGCCTTTCTCAGGAAGGTGAGTGGGGGGTCCCTCTCCGGAATTCTGCCCACCCTGGGTCCTGCCTGTCCCTATTGCCTTCGTGTCCCCTCTGCAGGCCTGTGAAGAGCCGAGACAGGAGCAGCAGCCATGAAGATCCTGTTCCTGCTCTTCCCCCTACTTCTCCTGTTGGTCCAGGGTACTGAAGGTGAGAAGGGAAGAGGGGAAAAGGGGGAAGGTGTGGGCACCCAGTAGTGGGCATTCAGTGTCCCTGGAAGTGGCCATGGTTGTGGGAATGATGAGAAGGCAACGGGACTGGGGTCAAAAGTGTTTCCTGAGTGAGTATCCAGATGGACACTGATTTGGGGTGGAGAGAGCCCATGGAAACAGAATCCTGGCTTGTTCTGTGGGTCAGGGATGTGGAATGTGACAAATCCCTGCCTGCCAGCTCTGCTGGTCCAAGTAGAGGTGGGAATGCAGGTGGGCATAAGCACGGCTCTTCCTCAACCTCATGCTAGTCTTTTCTACTCTCTGCTCTGCTGTGCCTCCATGTTAGGGGGACAGGGACCTTCCAGGTGAGACAAATTGCAATTGGAGATGTGGCTGTGTGGGAATTGGATCTGAGTGCTTCTCTTGGCCTGAAATGCACCAGCGCCAGGGATCATCAGCCTGTGCATAACCAAAGTCTGACCTCTCAGATTATTTCTTTAAGTTTTCTCTGTGTCTTTCCCCATGGGAACAGGCAGTGCAGTTGCATGCTGGAGAAAACGGGGATTCTGCTCCAGGTTTTCTTGCCCTCCTGGTTCATTTCGTGCCGGAAGTTGTGCACCAAGCCTTGTATGCTGCAGAAGGTAAGGCCCAGATGCTTGGCTGAAAAAATATTTTCCTCATTCTTCTTCAGACAGATCATGTAACACCACCTTTCTAGACAATTTATGATAGATACTGTACAACATTTATGCTTTGAGAGAGATGCAGAAGAAGGGATAGAATAGTCCTGCAGAGTTTGATCTCCCATAAGTGGGGCTGCGGGAGCCCCAGGTCAGCCAGGGTCTCCCCAGTCTCCTCCAGTCTCGGGGTCTCATTCTTGCTTTGTAGAGGCCTGACCAAAGCCACCAAAGAAGGAAAAAGTTCCCTGTCCTTGGGTAGCACCAAGGACATGATTTAGGTCCTGCTGAATCTGCACAGAGCTGGAGCCAGGGCTGCC